GTTTACCATTGATGTCAGGGTTTCACACAATTTACGGTATTTTACGCAAATTGCTTTGGATTTGTATTTTTCCTGTGGATTACCGCTTAAATAATAGAATTACATTTATTTCTATAATACAACATTTATATATAATTTTGTTTATTTTATGTTTACCAACTAATTATAATTGAATTATTTATAATAATTAAATACTAATAAACAATTCAACTAAAACTCTATATAAACTATTGAAAGTGAATAGAAAATGGTCTCAAATATAACACAAAGTGTTTTTATAAACCAATTCATTGAGGACTCAATCCTTGGTTCGCGTGCTTTTGGGACAGTATATAAAGTAAAGCATAGATTGGATGATAAGATATATGCTGTTAAAAGAGTACAATTTGAAGGTAAATATAATTCACAAATAATTTCACAAATAAATAAAAAACATAATAACTAAAAAGTTAATTTTTTAACAACTATTGTCATAGATTTAACTGACGAGAAAATAAACCGAGCTATTAATGAAGTGAAAATAATGTCAAAACTGGACTCAAAATGTGTAGTAAAGTACTATAACTCGTGGAGAGAAAGCATTCATTTATACATTCATATGGAGTGCTGTCAACAAAATCTGCGAACAGTTTTCACAGACAAACGGCTGGTGTTTAACAGACAATCACCGGCGGAACCGATGTCTTCGCACGAGTACTACATATTATGCGAAATATTTCGTGAACTTTTGAAATCACTGCAATATCTGCATGAATTAAAGTCGCCTATAATTCATCGTGATCTAAAACCGGAAAATATATTAGTTTTATGCACCAATAACCATGGTGTGTTTTTAAAACTTGGTGACTTTGATCTGGCCACTAACCAAGATCGTACAGCTCTAACCCAGGGCGCGGGTACTCGTAAATACATGGCCACTGAAGTAGGCTTTTCTCAGTCTTATGACTGTAAAGCAGATATTTATAGTCTGGGACTTATTGGCTATGAGTTATTTGAAATATACAGGTATGTATAGTAAAATCTAGAACATCGGGTTTATAATGAGAAGCACTTTTTTAACTTCAATGACCAAGATATAATCATTCATACTATGTTAATAATTAAATGTAATTCTATTATTTAAGCGGTAATCCACAGGAAAAATACAAATCCAAAGCAATTTGCGTAAAATACCGTAAATTGTGTGAAACCCTGACATCAATGGTAAACGGAATGGCTATTCAACGACCGACCAGTACTGATATATTGAAAGATTATAACCAGTGGTCAATCGGTAAACATATAATTACGGCAAATAAACAAGAGTTCCGTGAAATAAAAAACACCATTAAATCTAATGATAACATCTTTTTCTATGAATTTCTTGTATCAAAATTAGCCACAAATTATGGGGCACTCGTTCGGGGCCTTAATTTATCAAATTATTATTTACACATTTATGTACTTGTATTATGTATTATTGTCTCATTTGCAATTAATTGGTTTATGTGTGGTCATTGATAACAAATAAATAAGTTATACTTTTTAAAGCATTTATAATTTACAAACTATTTAAAATATCTTAATTTTAATTAATTATTTTGTTAAACATTTATTTATACAGTTATAGCAAAAATATGATTAATTACTATATAAAAAGTCTTATGTTTAAGATTATATTGTGTTGAGAGATTAAAAACTATAGTTATTATCACATATTGTAAATTTTTTTTGTTATTTAATCAGTGTTTCCAATGCTTTCACTTATTATTACATTTACTTGAAATGTCGCATAATACTGTCTCTATTACAAAGAAATGAATTGTTATATTTAATATCTTTTTACAATAAAAATATTGTTTTATTATAACAATTAAAGTTAATAATTTTTTTAAATGAGTGAATTCATAGAAAAATATACATTTTGTGATAAAATCTCAACAAATATCAAACAAAATATTTTAAAATTACACGTGTTTTACGACTGGAATGATTTAATCAATATATTATTAATAACAAATGACAATATTGTCTATGGTTTTGGTAATAACTGTAGCGGATGTCTGGGTCTTAGACATAGCAGACCCGTTAAATCGCCACAAGTTATACAACAATTATGTCATCAAAACATACAATACTTTGTCAATGGATGTGATTTTGTGTTAGCAGTGAATGATGTGAATCAAATCTATGGCTTTGGTAGTAATATATGGGGGCAATTAGCCCGTGGTGATAAAATAGGGCATGATTGTCTTAAACCAATGATCATAGCATTTTTTAAAGATATAAATATACACCAAATTAATTGTGGTTATGTCCATACACTTGTGCTGACCAGTGATGGCCGGGTGTATGTCTGGGGCGGCAATGGTTTCGGACAAATTGGTTGCAGAAATAATATTGAATACATTTGTACACCAATTGAATTACAATTTGATTATAAAATTCAAGACATATATTGTTCGTACGGCTCGTCATTTGCCGTCACATCCGATGGACATGTGTTCAGTTGGGGCGACAATAGAAGCCATGAATTGGGACACAATATAGACGATGAGAAAGTATTTAAACCCCGACTGATTTCAACATTAAACGATGTAAAAGAAATATGTTATAGTATTTATGGCACTTATTTTTTGAACAATTATGGTCTATATTTTTGTGGAAAATATTATGAAAATGATAAGAAAATAACAGTAAAACAACCAAAACAAATACTTTATAAGTATAATTTTCAAGAATTACAACAAGTTACTTCATATTTCTATTCAAACAATGTAATATGTGTTCAACAAAATCACAAAATATACAAAATATCAAATGAACACCAATTGATTGAAACAAATTATAATAATTTTACTGATTTTTACACCAATGAATACCAAATTACTTATAATACTATTGACTTAAATAAGGTAACAACTATCCAACCTAACGATGATCAAATTATTGAAAGTCCTCTCATTTCAAATGTTACAAATAAATATATATCACAATTCATTGAGATGTCAGCTATAGGTACGGGTAGTTTTGGAACTGTATTTAAAGTAAAGCATAAATTGGATGATAAGATATATGCCGTTAAAAATGTGCAAATTGAAGGTAAACATGATTGCATTTTGCTTTAATACACATTATTAAATTAATATTCAATATTTTGCGATAGATTTTAGCGAAAAGACTAAATATTCAGCTCTCAAAGAAGCAAAAATGTTGGCAAAATTTGATTCAAATTTTATAGTAAAGTATTACGACTCGTGGACTGAAGGCCCGCAACTGTATATTCAGATGGAGTACTGCACACAAAGTCTTCGGACTGTAATACAGGACAAACCGCGAGTATTTGAAAGACAATCAATAGATGACTACGGGTTTTGGGAAAGCGATACCAAACCTATGGATATAATTGAATATTTTATTTGTTGTGAAGTATTTCGGGAACTCTTGCAATGCGTTCAATATCTGCATGAATTACAGCCACCAATCATTCATCGGGATATAAAACCTGATAACTTTTTGATTTCATATAAAAACAACAATAGGTCTATAAAACTATGTGACTTTCAATTGGCCACTGAACACAATACGGAATCCCAGAGCCATACATATGATGTCGGTTCGTGGAAATATATGGCACCAGAAATACGTCGTGGTAGAGTATATAACACTAAATCAGACATTTATAGCTTGGGTATTATTGGACTGGATTTGTTTCAAATAGATATGTAAGTCGTTTATAATTTTTTAAAGATCTATTTTATAATTATCACTTTATTTATACAGCAATAATTTAAAGCAAATATACAGTGAAAGTACATTTTCTAACAATATTACTAATATATGTAATATAATTGAATTAATGATTCACGGAATGTATGACAACCGGCCGACTAGTGCTCAAGTATTACAAAACTATAACCAGTGGTCAATCAATAAGTCGATGATCATTACCGATAATACATTCAATGAATTTTTGAAAAAATTAATATTTAACGACAATTCATTTTTCTATGATTTTTTACTATGTAAATTAAGAAATAATCATCAGTCAACAGATTCTACTAATAAACGTGCAAATATTATAGTCAAGAGGCAAATATCATCAAAACTGAACATTGATTTTATAGATGACAAAATTTTAACAAAGATTTTCAGTGATAGTCACTATAAAACCCATATTAAAGAAGTTATTACAAAATTACATGTTTTTCGCGATTTCAATGAGAAATTCAACGTTTTATTTATTACAAGAGATGATATGGTCTATGGTTTGGGTTTTAATACCAATGGATGTCTGGGTTTTGGACACAACAGTCCTATACTATCGCCAGAAATAATACCACAATTATGTCATCAAAACATACAATACTTTGTCAATGGATTGGATTTTGTATTAGCAGTGAATAACATAAACATGATATACGGTTTTGGTAGTAATAAATGGGGGCAATTGGGCCGCAATAATCAAAATGACCATGATTATCTTATACCAGAAATAATACCGTATTTCAATGACAAAAATATCATCCAGATCAGTTGCGGTATATGTCACACGCTGGCCCTCTCCGGTGATGGCTGGGTATATGCCTGGGGTCGAAACAGCTCAGGGCAAATTGGTTGCGATGATAACAGTGAATATATTTCAACACCAATTGAATTGCAATTCATTAATAACTATAAAATAAAATTCATTTACTGTTGTTATTGCACTTCGTATGCTATTACCACTGCTGGACAGGCCTTCAGTTGGGGCGACAATAGTGGTCAAGATTTGGGACACGACTTAACTGATAACCATATATTCAAACCCCGTTTGATTGAAACCATAAGTGATGTAAAGTCCATCAGTTGTAGTGTTTTTAACACATATTTTCTGACAACAAATGGTTTGCTATACTTTTGCGGCCAATATTATCAAAATAATAACGTATTTATCGCAAAAATACCGAAACACATACCGTTTAAATATTGTTTCGATAATTTACAGCCTAATAATTCGTTGGTTTCAATTGTAATAATAGAAAATAACTTTTATACCAGAAATAACATACGCGATAGAAAAAAATTCATCCCTGTTGTTGTCATACAAAATGGTAAAATTTACAAAATTTCAGAACAGCAACAAGTGATTGAAACGGTTTTTAATAATTTCATCGAATATTACGCCAATAAATATAATTTAACTAATAATACAATTGATATGAAGGAAATTAATGACAACTCAATGAGCAGTGATAATAATTTTAACGATCATTTCATTGAGATGTCAGCCATGAGTTCGGAGAGTTTTGGGACTGTATTTAAAGCATATCCTAAATTAGATGATAAGAAATATGCCATTAAAACAGTACAATCTATGGGTAAAATTCAATTACTAATTGTTTTATTTGTTTATTAAATATAAAAACATATTTTCCATAGAATTTAGTGAAGAAACGAAACAAGAGATTTATAACAAATTGAAAAATTTTGAAAAACTGGACTCAGAATAGTGATTGAAAATGCAGTGTCGGTGTCGCAAAAACGATACGACACTAACAATACTGTTTATATATGTCAAATCCGAATATCAAATCCAAATATGACAAGTCTGTTATTTATCCAATTTTATACATGTTTTACAATAATTGTTAATTGTAACCTGATCATTTGCAAGTATACTGTGTATACGTAATGAGTGAAAGTGAGTGCGATACAGGTATTTAAAACTACTTTAGTATAAGTATATTGTAGAAAAACATGATAAATACATTTGAACTAAAATATTAAATACAAAAAAATTGATTGCGATTAAGATAATTTATTAACACAATTTTCGACATTTGTAACAATACATGACGAGTACCGGAATGTTATAAATCTTACGCATTCAGATTTTAAATCACCTTTATGTAAATACTAAAATTACCCTTTATATTTTATAATTATTATTTTAAAATCTAATAAGACTGTATTTTGCCCATCAATAAAATTTCAATGACTTGACATTCAGAGTACTAGTTCAATTGAAATTATCAGTATTTAAAGTAAATAGTTATTATCTTATATAAATTATATGATTTTATTATTATAAGTAAATAGGCAAGTATTAGTGATAGGAATACTGTATTACAATAAATTGATTGCTATTAAGAGCGATTTTCACACAACTTTCAAATATATTGATAATAACTAATATAAAATTATTTGATACAATTTATTAACGCCATTATTGGGCGTATATTTTGTAATACTTATAATTATTATTACTCTTTTTAAATAATATAAACATATAATTACTTATTAAGTGACAAAATCTTATTTTGAGAAAAATTACCAAACCAATAGTCATTCAGAGTCTAAATATTCAAATATGATTCAAATATTATTGGCAAATATAAAAAATTAAACCAGCTCATTTGTTGACCGTCTACTGACTGTGACAAACCTTAATCAGACAGTCTTCCTCTAAATAAAGGGACTCTCATTACGTGACATAAAAATTTTGTTCATGAATGCGTACCTATTACTGTTATAGTATTTTTAACCACAATTCAGTATGAATAATGTGGTTTATAGGATCGTTCTATGTATAATATTGACCATATGGGACTTATGCATGTTAACTCTATGGAATCAGTGCTAGGTAAAACAATTCTATT